CTTGCACACAAAAATGGTACTGATCTGGTACGGAACAGGATTGCTTGGACACTACGAGGAGTTGGAGGACGACCGGCTTGTGCTGAAGGAGCGAGCAAAGGAGACTTTCTGCAGTCTGCGGATCTCGTCGAGGTTCTTCGGGGCTTCCCGCCAAAGGTTGTTCTGCGAGGACAAACAATCCTTGATAGTTGGAGGCAGTTTATCGTACTCGTCGATCCGCCAACCAATCAGATTCGCAACCGCCTTCTCAGCAAATGGCCGAAAAGTGCCCAGACGAACCATCGAGCAGAAACTTGAGCCTGGCTCCTCGGTCGCAGCCTCGTCCATGATGTAATCGTAGTTTGTGTACTCGTATCGACTGCCTGGAACGGTCACACATGCGCAGCCAAATGTTAGCAAAAGGTGACTTTTTGCCGCTGATGAGCTCGCATTTATTTCATCCATGAGCTTAAAAGCACAGCCAATAGAGTTCATCTTCATTTTCGTTTTCACTTTCATGCCACCGCACACGGAACAAAGCGCTTTTTTCACAACACACTGCACCACACCCATCCAGCCGTCAACGAACAGCCCTGACCAGCTTTAAACCACCACTAACTAGCTTTCCCAGCTATCGCTGCAGTGCGGTTGCTGTTCCTAATGAATGAATTTAGACTGGCACAGGCAAGCCCAAACAGGACGAGCGGCTCACCCCCACAACGTTTGTAGGTACTTGTGGTTTAAACCGCCAGCACCTCGCCCATCCAGCCGTCAACGAACAGCCCTGACCAGCTTTAAACCACCACTAACTAGCTTTCCCAGCTATCACTGCAGTGTGGTCGCTGTTCGTAATGAATGAATTAGACCGGCACGGCAGGCCCAAACAGGACGAGCGGCTCACCCACACAACTTTTGTAGGTACTGGTGGTTTAAACCGCCAGCACCTCGCCCAGGCAATCTTGAGAATCGAAATTGACCTGATCCGAAGATTTCGGGTGAATGAACCAGAATGGTTTGGCAGTGTTTCATTGGTGTGCAGTGCAAATCCAAATCCGTGTCGGGAAAAAGAGGATCGGAGGCACTGGCCGTTTAACAACCACATTGACGACAACAAGCTTCTATTACAGCACCATCACAGGGACTAGAAACCCAAGGTTCTTCCCCAAAGAGTAAAACACCCTGTTCACGAGGGTGCGTAGTACTGCGTACCCGTAACGACAACGTACGTGTCAGCTTGCAGGATCCGGCTGCTCTCGTCAGAGACATATATTATACATGTGCTCATGGACAGGAAATTGCCCTCAGAGAGTACGAGAACTACCAAATCCTCAAGGTCACGGACACATGCACAGAAAAGGTAGGAGATACAGCAATTTGGAGGAGAGCAAAAAGGAGAGGTAACCAAGGAGAGGCAGATATAAAGGGTATACAAACAGGCCAGTAATATCTTGCTGATTGCATTAAATCACCAGTTCACACGAGCCTAGGTTGACGAAGCTACCTCCCAAGACTGGCGAGCATGCAACTGTGCCTTTTCAAAGCGGCTTGCCGCTTTTGCTACCGTCCCAGGCCCGAAGCAGAGCAGACTTTACCACGTATACCGTCAAAGCCACTCGCACAAACTGGTCGTTTAACAGATCACATGTATGAACTTCACTGGATATGTTCATATTAATGAACGTTGCCATGATCATTGATCTCAGAGACGATACATGTTCATATTGCAGTATATACTAGACGATCAGGACGTCAAACCTTGCAATATTGGCACAATAAATATATCATACATGACGCAATACTTCGTCCACAGCTATTTCTGGACTAACAAGGCCGGGAGGAAGGAATGCGGCATTGGCACTCGTGTTTGTCTTCTTATGCAATCATGACGGTGAAGAGCGCACCCACCTTTCACATAGTATGAGAAAGCGACCTTTGTCGTCGAATGCAAGTGGAACACACTCTGCACAATGTTGATCCTGGTTCGCATGTATTCGCCAAATCCCGTTGTCACCTAGCACAGGTGCACGAAACCGAAGAAGAAAGACAAGATTCAGCTATGGAGTGCCATCGACTTTTGAGCATCAGCAGCAACCTGCCCCTTGGCCTTTTCACTCTTGCCCCTTGTGATGACCACTAGCATAGCCTCCAGTAGAAACACACACCAACAGTTAGGCTCTACCGATACCCCACATACATGCTTCCTGGAGAGTGGAAGAGGAGAGTGGATGACACCTGCCTTCTGAATGTTGATACTGACTCTAAGGGTCCGATTCTGACAGACCATCTCCATCCTCGAGCGCTTCCTCAGTGGACACGTCTGATCTCATCAATACAACATGTACACTGACGATAGCTTCTAGCATAGACTTGGTTATTATCGCGTAGGAAGAAACAATCAACCCTGAAGCTTAAATCCAGGCATATGCCTGTAGAATTCTCCCTTTGGTTTCAATGCAATCCAGTCAGTCACAAGTAGCTGGTAAAAAGCTACACATAGCCACTGTGTGGGGTCGCTTCCTTGCGAGGTGATTTCATAATTTGTCAATCAACGTTTTTCTCACCTCAAGCACTGTAAGGAGTTTCACCCTTCGCACTCAGCACTGACACGTGCAAGCAGACAACGGCAGGAAAGAGCAAAAGATGGGAAAGAAGAGATGAACGTGACTGCAGGACAACCATCACATTCCAAGAGAATTAGAAACACAAACTCCCTCCCTCTCTTCTCTCTCTCTCTCTCTCTCTCTCTCTCTCTCTCTCTCTCTCTCCACCTCCTCGATTTCCTTGACGTTACCTTTAGATTTGACTGCCATCCCCATCGTTTGTTTCCTTATGCTTTGTCAAACGTTTAGCCCTGTATGTGCTGTGCAGCCTTCGAGGCTTGATCCCAGGTAAATCTAAATGGCTCCGCCTTCTTCTTCTTCTTCTTCTTCTTCTTCTGCTTCTGCTTAGTTTCGTGAGCACAGAGTACTACCTGTCTCTTATACACATCTAGATGTGTATAAGAGACAGGCAGAGAAGAGAGGAGAGGAGTGCTAGGAGAGGGAGAGGAGGGGAAGGGTGCCGGGGGGAGGGGGAGGAGGGAAGGGGTGCCAAGGGGGGCGCATACGTGGAGCTTGGTGGGAAGAAGGCAACTTACCGAGTGGAAGTTACGAGGGGCCACATTCCCAAATTTTCTAAAAATAGCAATGAGCTCAAGGCCGCTCCAATTCATTGCATTTACCCTTCTTCTTACTTCTGACGTACAACATTCAACCTGTCATCATGACATCCACAGCTGCTAACAACCATCAAAGATGCTCACAACCATCGATTGCATCGATGGCTGAAACCGATCCGTCAACGTGTACACACCCGCTTTCCTAATATCTGATTTCGAAACTGCGAAACTCGCTACTGCGCCTCGACACCAGAGTGGACTCCTTATAGGCTATAAACATTTCTTAAATTGGGGTGCCCTGCTTTTTTTTTCACTGACAGGGGGTTGAAAAGCAGAAAGGAAAGCCGCAGGCAGAGCTTCTCTGCCTCACTTCACTGGATTTCTCAACCTGGGAAATGTCTTTTAGCCTTTTAGGGCATACTTGCACTACGGCTTACACATATTCACATAGCAAGGAGTACAACAGCTAAATTCAGCTTGGAAACGATGAAAAGGTACACAAGTGTGGATATAGTATACAAAGTGTGGATACAGTATACAGCACTATACAGTGTATACACCCTTCGCTGTTTTCAGGCAAAAGACCAAATCAACCGTGCGTACTTGGGAGGAGAAAACACGGTTGTGGCTTCAAATGTAATGATCACGTGTACGGAGACAGTGGTCACTTTTTGGAGCTCGGTCCTCCAGAGTTGAGGTAGGACCTGGGGCCAAGTCCCACTACCCTCGACACCAGAGTTGAGTTTCCTCAACGCGCCCGAATCCGGACGTGTTTTGTGGAGATGTGCAGAAAATCCCATCGAGTTTCCTCGAACCACACATCTCCACCAACAAGTCCAGATTCCGGCATTGACGAAACTCGACTCCTCGACTCTGCTAGTGGGACTTGGGCCCCTGGTGGAGAGAGAGGCAGAATGATACCAGCAAAGGCACTCCGCTCTGGTCCCTATGCGAGGCTGGGTGCAACGTACCTGGACTATTCATTTGTGGCGACCATAGATTGCAAAGATCAATGGCAAGAATGCAGAATCGAATCAGCATGGCGCAAATATCACGTCAATTATGGCGAAGGAAAAGAGAATGACAAAAGTGCCAATGGCACGCCCTGACGGATAGGCGTGTCAGGCATCATGGCGTGCCAGGCATAGGGTTTAGGGTAAGGGGAGAGGAGGGCAGCCATGAGGAGGGGTAAACATAAAACGACGAAAAGGAAAGGCAACGGACCTGAGTTCAAATCCAGATGCCACCAGATGACCATAATAACATCATTCTGAATTACTTGAGGCCGGTCAGTTCAAAGATGATATCACCCTTTTATAAGAGAAAAATAAGGGGAAGGAGCTCTTCTCTCTCTCTCAGGAAGGGGAAGGAGCTCATCTCTCTCTCCCTCTCTCTCAGGAAGGGGAAGAAGCTCATCTCTCTCTCCCTCTCTCTCTCAGGGAAGGGGAAGAAGCTCATCTCTCTCTCTCTCTCTCTCTCTCTCAGGAAGGGGAAGAAGCTCATCTCTCTCTCTCTCTCTCTCTCTCTCTCTCTCGGAAGGGGTACGAAGCTGACAAACCCTGACATTATTTTATCTGTTGATCAAAGGTTAACATGTGCGTTATCATTTAGCCACCGGGCAAGTACAGAGGAAAACCTACCTCAGTTTCAGGAGTTGAGGAAACAGAATGCCAAGAGGCTTTGTGCAATCCGCAAAACAAAAAAATTCACATTCCGAAAAGCTTTCTCTGCCATGCAACGAACAAAACTATACCTCAAATCACTGTGTAAGTTTACACACGACCCCCCTGTTTCTTCAATTTATTCTGCATCCGAAAAAAAAAAAGACTTCTTCAGTAAAAGTCGAAAGTATGTCACAGAATTTCTTTCCGGTTGAACTTCATTGAACTGATTCACCAAAAAGAATGGAGGAGTTCTGTTATCCCATTCACCCCCATTATATCAACAAATCACTTCATTGTTTCGACAAATCACTTCATCGCATAACCACAAACAAACACAATGACGACTCACAAGGATTGAATCACTGAAATCATTAAATATGTATGTAATCCAGCATGCGCGGAGCTGTCTCTGCGTCAAGACCATCTTCCTAACGGCACATTAAAGTCTTCCAAATTCCATACTATTACGGTAGTATATACACACACGGCCGACATGAGAGGCAGAGCGGAGCTGTATCTGCGTCAAGACCATCTTCCTAACTGCACATCAAAGGCTGACAAATTCCATACTATTACGGTCGTATATACACACACGGCCGACATGCGAGGCACATGCAGGCCACAAGATTTATTTACAGGTCCTTGTCTCCGGGCCCATCCCAGTACCTCAGAAAAAAAAGGTACCACAGTCAAGATCAGCATTCAACTCTTCCTTCCCTGACCCAGACACAAAACCAACAACATCGACAGGTAAACAGCTTATAACCTGCGCATGCAATTTTCCGAATGGCTGCAAAATTGCAATGTACTGAAAAAAGAGTGGGTTGAGAATAAGGTTCAAACTTCAAAAAGCACACACACTGCAATTATCTATTCGACATGGCGTGTGTGTTTTGTTAACTGCAACAAATGAAAGGCTGTCTTTCTCACAAAACAAAAAGAGCGAGACAGCCCTTCTTGGCAGAAAATAGCAAACCTAGCAAAAGGACACGAGCCCCACATGCCTGCATGCGCAGACATAACTCATACTCCCACCCATAACCAAACAATACGATACACATTCTAGAGATAGCACTATTTACACAGTCATGCTACCTTGACTTTCCTTCATGGCTCCAGCATCGCCACGCTCCAAAATAGCAGCAGCAGGCGAGACAAACAGTAGAGTCGATAACCCACTCGATGCTGTTGCTTCTGCCCTCTTTCCTCCTGTTGATTATCCATCTGCTCCTCATCCCAACACTCCCTGAGAATCATGAGCACAAGTTCAGTCAATGTGTCCATTCTTTGGGCACTTTGCAGAAAGTACTGTCCCCGTCTTGAGCATTATAGCCATTCCTTCTCCCACATACGATGCCACTTGCATGTTCGAACTCATGTGAGCAAACAAGCACTGTTCGAAGCACTTGCATTTATGAGAGTTTAAGCGTGTGTGTGTGTGTGTGTGTGTGTGTGTGTGTGTGTGTGTG